CCTGCGTTTTAGTAAGATCAATTTTTCCTGTGAGTTTCATGACAACAGGCCTATCGATTTTTGTTGAAATGTGTTTACAGTGTTGCATATATGCTGAAAAGTGAAAAAACAGCATAACTTCTACAATAATGGCCCGATCATGCTGATTTTCGAACTTGACCTGCATTTTATGAATATTCATCAGCTCTGTAAATATAAAGCCAAAAAGTAAAACTGTCTTCCACTTATCGTGTTTACAAGGAAAGTGCACGGCGACGACGGCGCAACGACAGCGACGACGGCGACGGCGACGACAGACGCAGGTGATGGCAATATGTACAGACACATCTGTGTCTGTACATAAAAATCCTGGCAATTCACCTTTAATTATGTGTTTATGTTATAAATTGACACAATTATTTAAGCAAGTAACCTTATTTCCTTTCACCAACCTTTTGGCACAATTTCAATTCAAACTACATAAAGTTTAAATAAGATTTATTCTTAATGTCACTTTTGACCTTTCAACATTAAATCCTTTCTATGTAAGGATCAATCATTATTACCATGTTTAATGGGCATTTCTACAAACAAAAGACAATAATCATCACACCACACATTTACACATTTACACAATGTCATAGCTTTATGTTATAAAACCAAACTTACACCATTATGTATAAGCTTTTTATTAACTCTAAATATTCCTCTATGAGTCCACTGCCTACTCACCTGAACACAGAGAAAAACTTCGATTCATCAACTGACCACTCAAACAAATATCATCATAGAAATATTATATTTATCTTAAATATTCCTCAAAGAGTCCACTGCTTACTCACCTGAACACAGTGGAAGGTGTACCAGAGAACAACTTTGACCCATCAGCTGACCACTCAAACAAATACCGTCATAATAATATTATATTATATGAATTTTCAATACTCCTCTATGGAGTCCAATGCTTACTCACCTGAACACAGTAGAAGGTGTACCAGAGAACAACTTTGACCCATCAGCTGACCACCTCAGCATTGACACACCTCCGCCACCCACACGGCGCAGTGGTATGGCAGTCTCCATGGCAACATCCCATATCATCATGGCAGTGTCCACTGGTGAGGCAGATACCAAGACGCCCCCTTGTGGACACCAGGCGAGACTGATCACTGGACCATGTCCTGGATGACTTAGGACCTGGACTGAACTAGTGGACGGCCTGAGGACGGTTTTTATAATTTATTTTCACGTCATCTAAGACATATTGGAATGACAGAAAATCTAGATTTTCTAAATGTATTTGACATTTCCTGACCATTATTTTTGGTGCAAATTTAGTATAGACCAATGTGGAACATAATATTATGTGTGTTTACGTGTTTAATAACAAATATATCATCAAAATAAATGACAGACATCATATCAAAATAGTTTCAATACATCAAAGTTTTTGAGATCAACCAAAAAAATTAATTCTATGTTAAAAGTCAGGTAAAAAAACTAATGCAAACTGGACTTGAAAGATTATCAAATTATTCTTCAATTCAGAGGAAAAAGGTTGGTGACCTTGACTTGACATAAAGCCTGTCTTACCTTGTTGCCATTGACAACGGATCCACGTGCCATATCAAGACACAAGTTTGACATGCCACTGCTAGAACTGAGGCTGACAGAGGCCTGAGGAAATATAGCCAGAATTACTACAGACCATTACAGACAATTACTTGAGTGAATAAATATGAGATATACAAGTTCTGTCAGCTTTGTCATGTAAGTGACCTCAGGCCTGTGTTATAATGACATCATGTGTTAGAAAGAATCCCCACCAAAATGCTAACATTAAGCTACTGCTACTCTTTTACCAGATTTATCCTTGATTAGGTTTAACATATCTGAGTTGGCTAAAAAGATTCATTTATTTGGCAAAAAATATACGTGTGTGTGTGCGTGCGTGCATGTGTCTGTGCGCGCGCACGTGTGTGTGTGTGTGTGTGTGTGTGTGTGTGTGTGTGTGTGTGTAAAAAATTTACTGAGAAATGAGGATTGAAAATACTTACTGCCAAGCTAAGTCTGCCACACCTTTCTGTAGCTTATGTTTCAGGGTGGGCACTATGCCTACCCCGGTGGTATAAACTCTGACAGAATCATCCCTCAGCGCTAGGGCAAACTTGGCTGTGTGAGGGTGCCATGAAAACGCTCTGATAGGACCATGCCTCCTAGGGGGGGGGGGGGGAAGAAAACAAAAATCTATTATTTTATCCAGCATTACCTCAGATCAGCAGAGTATTTACCAGTATTTTAGACACATGGGCAACCTTTTAGCACCATTATAAATCCATTTTTATCATCAATAACTGTTACATGGCTTATTAAATATAATGCATATAAATTACGGTTCAATTTCTCTTACTACATAGAGACTATGCATTGAGGTTGATGACCATTGTTACCAGGCAGATGGATGAATGGATACGCATTATCATCATCACCCCTAAAACTTCTTACGGTTCAATTTCTCTTACTACATAGAGACTATGCATTGAGGTTGATGACCATTGTTACCAGGCAGATGGATGAATGGATACGCATTATCATCATCACCCCTAAAACTTCTCGAAATAATTTATTAGATAACTTGTTTAGCCAAAGCGTTTAAAAAAAACTGACAATTCAAAAAACTTACCAGTCTGACGATGAAGAAAACTCAGCAATCATGTCTTCATTAGAAAGCTAGAATATAGAAAGGCAGCCAAATCAGACTCATCTCAGACAAACAAAAACATAAGCTCACTAAATTAAATCTAACTATTTCAAGTAGCTCTCAGTGAAAAGAAATCTCTGTTTCAAAATAAGGAGAAACAGACATAATGATTTACCTCAATTTTGCAAGGTAAACTTATATTAGGCATGTGCAAGAAATATGATAGTAAGTTCTGTTGTAAGAATTAATATTTTGGAAAACTGCCAAATGCACAGCCTAATTTGTCAGTGTAAGAATTAACTTTCGTAGTTTTGATGCATATATCATTACTGAAAGATGAGGAAAAAGGGAGCCATGGAGGGAGTTTGCCCATCTGATGACTGCCATTACTCCACATGCCACAGAGCTGATCCATGGAGAACCTAGAGGGTTAATAAATAAATAAATAAATAAATAAATAAATAAATAAATAAATAAATAAACAAAAAAGCAACACTTAATTTTAGTAAGGAAAGGAATGTAAATTTCAATGCAAAGAGTAAAATGTTGACTTTCAACATATTTAAATTGCCCTTCTTTAACTACAAAACTTAAATAATGAAAACTTTTAAAATTACTAATAACACTCCACTTTCAACATCAACCTGTAAAATGCCTATAAACAACTTTCACGTTATTGTACTTTGCTATAATTGTTATAAAAATGTATCCATATCGCATACAATAAATATAATTTCTGGTCAGTGGCACAATACTGATTATTATAGTCAAAATTACCTTCCAGGCGACTGCTTCCTAGCTCAGCCACAACCCCTGATAAACCGTGTTCATGCCTAAAATAAATGGTGTCATATAAAAATCTTAAGCTATTCTGGGGTAGCGCTAGCAATTTTTTTAATTTAGCCAAAATGCTACTTTTTCATCACTTTTATGTCCAATGGTTAAAATTTGACTAAAATTAGTCAAATCAACACTATTTTGTTTAGCCAATTTCAGTCAGTTTTAGCATTTGGCTAAATTGGCAAGTGTTAGCGCTACCCCAGCTATTAAAAAAATATAAGCAATTGTCATAATTTTTCAAATACAATTGGCTTCACAGCACCCATTTCTCAATTATCTATTTAAAATTTTTCCACAAGGACATCATTTTAACCACATCTCCAACAGCATCAAGAGCTCCACAGAAAACAATTTCTGATGGTTATCTGATAAATGTTCGACAAAAAAAGTTCAAAAACAATTTCATGTTTTTCAATAATTAAGAAACTATGTAATAAATTTATACTTACCTTAGCTAATAGGGTTATTTTATAATTATTCAAAATATCCATATTTCCTTACTTTTTTGGTCAAGTATATATTAGCTGAATAAATTATTATTATTATCATTATTACTATAATTATTACTATGATTATTATTACCCATTTCATCAATTAAAACCTACCATGCATATAGCAGCCTCTTCCTCAGTGATGTTCTATGTTCTATAAAGGCAGACTTAGCATGTTCCTGGGACAACGAGGTCCTCAGTGCCTCTCCTGTCAGACTGACCTCAGGGTAAGTTAGACCCTGAAATATTAGTTATCTGATATGATTATGTCTGAGTGCAAAATGCTTTGAAAAACATCCTTCGCTTGTCAGGATATATTTTTCCACTCAATGCCATAGTAACCAAGTCATCAATTTAAAAGATTATCTGTGAAGTTAAAGCTTTGTTGACTGGATATGCCAGTGCAAAAAAAAAAGTGAATTTACCAGAGTTCTTTAATTGACAGATGCTTCATAAAACAAGCAGCCCTTGTCACTGTTATGATTAAGGTAATTCAATCTAACAAATGCTGGAAGTTTCCATTTTACCTGTGAAGTGGCACTTACCTGCATATACCTTTGTTGAGACATCGTGTCATCTGCCCGACAAGCAATTAACTCACTGTTGGCCTCACAAACTGTGACATAGCCATCAGGGGGAGGTGGTTGGAACAGCAGCAGAGAACACATAATGCAGTAATGGACGTCCTCTAACACAGTGGGGGCTGCTGAGCTTTCTTATTTTAGTACAAGATCCAAGAAAATCACATCTACAATTGAATTTAGATTAATAATTTTATTTTGTAGTTTGTAGGTGTTAAAAAGAAAGATGCAGGGTCTAATGAATTTGTAACTTAAATGTTCATTGTGAATTTCTGTTTAATCATTTAAGCCCTGTTAACTTGTGAAAACGGTGATAAAAATGGCAGATCTGTACAGTCTCAATCAGACTGATAAATTAAACCCCACTAATATTAATTATTTCTATTTTTCTCTGTTAATACCACAGATTCTAAT